GCAGTAGCCACTGGACACCAGGCAGCTACTTAAGTTAAGAAAACATTCAGCTCTGTAGTTACACTGGCTCTCCCTTGGCTAGTGGCCACTAGATCAAACAGCACAGATATAGAACATCTCCATCATCCCAGAAAATTCTATAGGACAGCACTATGTCAAGAGTGCTAATATGAACATTTTAGGATCCTTTTTAGGATCATTTTAGAATAATGAGTTGCAATCACGAAGCTCAAAGCAGACATGCAGAATATATCATAGTGTAAATGATGATGAGTATTTGTGGGGAGAAGAGAAAGTTGAGGACCTATTTCCAGGTTTCTGAGATCCAGTTCTAAATTCTTTGCTGTCAGTCTCACGCGTTCTTTACGTTCTTACGTCACTATCTCTGCTATTGGAGTCCAGTAAGATCTCCAACTTGAGGTTGAGGTTCCAAAGCTTGTGATAGGACAAGCTTTGGAAAACATGAATGCACGTGGATTATTTAGCACACAGGCTGTAGACATGTATGTATAGGTTAATCCAACTGTTGGAGATGTCTTTTATAGCTTTTTAGATCAACAATTGCATCAGTAAATAATTAGAAAAACTTCAGCAATGCTGTGAAGTCTTCTCTTAAATGTGTCCTAGTAATGAAAAAATTGTCTGCCAGCAGTGCTGTCCTCGAAGCCAAGTGTGATTATATGCAAACAGCATGTTTGGAAAGATTACTCTAATTAATAGCAGTGTGTATTCGTAGCAGCCAGACTTCTGTGGATGACCCCCAGTGACTTTGTAGATTTTGAGTGTATGTGAACCTGTGAGTGTTATCCATAATTATGTTGTACAGCAAAAGGGAGATTATCTGGGAACAGCTAACCAATTCATGTGGGCCCTGAGTGTTCTCAGGCTGTCAGCAGAAGTCAGAGATTCAAAGCAGGAGGACCTGAGACACCATGGCTGGTTTCAGATGGGGGCAGCCACATGAGGAGAAATGCCTCTTGAGCTGAGAGGCCCCAGCTGGCAGCCAAGGGAATGGAAACTGCAGTCCTGCAGCCACAGGAATTGAACTCAGCCAGCAATCTGAAGGAGTCTGCAGATGGACTCTGCTTCAGCAGGCAAGAGCCTGGTCCCCGCCAGCACCTGGATTCCAGCCTTGTGAGACCTTGAGCAGAGAGTGCAGTCCTGCCTGCCTGGACTTCTGGCCTACAGAGCTGTGAGATTAATAAATGGGTGTTGTCTTAAGCTTTTAAATTTGCCATGATTTAATGCAGCAATAGAAAATGAATATGATGTTTAAAAGAGGTGAAGCAGAAAAGTCTTCCTACTTGATTCCTTCTGGTGTGTTATTTCATTTTTATTTTTTAAATTGGAGGATAACCGCTTTACAATATTGTGTCGGTTTCTGCCATACATCAGCATGAATCAGCCACAGGTACACACATGTCCCCTCCCTTCTGAAACCCCCTCCCACTGTACCCCACCCCCCTAGGTCGTCACAGAGCACTGGGTTGTTTCCTGGGTCACGCAGCAAATTCTCACTTGATGTTCACGTATGGTAATGTGTGTGTTTCCATGCTCCTCTCTTTCTGTCCCACCTCTCCTTCCCCAGCTGTGTCCACTGATCTGTTGTCTGTGTCTGCATCTCCACTGCTGCCCTGCAAATAGGTTCATCAGTACCATCTTTGTAGATTCCATATGCACACGTTAATATACACTATTTGTCTTTCTGTTTTTGACTGACCACTCTGTATAATAGGCTCTAGGTTCATCCATCTCTAGGACTGACTCAGATGCGTCCTTTTTTATTTAATAGCTGAGTAGTATTCCACTGTATATATGTACCACAATTTCTTTATCCATTCATCTGTTGATGGACATCTAAGTTGCTTCCATGTCCTATCTATTGTAAAAAGTGCTTCAATGAACATTGGGATTACATGTGTCTCTTTCATTTATGGTTTTCTCAGGCTATATGCCCGGTAGTGGGATTGTTGGGCCATGTGGTAATTCTATTCCTAGTGTTTTAAGGAATTGTCATACTAGCTGTATCAATTTACATTCCCACCAATAGTGGGAGAGGGTTCCCCTTTCTCCAGATCTTCTCCAGCATTCATTGTTTGTAGGTTTTTTACTGATGACCATTCTGACTGGCATGAGGTGATACTTCCTTGTAGTTCTGATTTGCATTAATAATGAGCTATATTGAGCATCTTTTCATGTTTGTTGGCCATCTATATGTCTTCTGAGAAATGTGTGTTTAGATCATCCATCCATTTTTTGATTGGGTTGTTTTTCTGGTTTTGAGCTGCATGAGCTGCCTGTATATTTTGGAGATTAATCCTTTGTCAGTTGTTTCGTTTGCTTATTGTTTTTTCTTCCATTCTGAGGGCTGTCTTTTAATCTTATTTCCTTTGCCATGCAAAAGCTTTTAATTAAGTCCCATTTGTTTACTTTTGTTTTTATTTCTATTACTCTAGGAGGTTGGTCATGGAGAATCTTGCTGTGATGTATGTCAAAGAGTACCACGTATGTTTTCCTGTAAAAGTTTTATGGTTTCTGGCCTTACATTTAAATCTTTAATCCATTTTGAGTTTATTTCTTGTGTATGGTGTTAGTAAGTGTTGTAGTTTTATTTTTTTTTACACATAGTTGGGTTATTTCTTGATAAACACATGAATAAAGTCTTGTCCTACCAGATTATATATCCAAGTCTCATCTGGGATTCTCTCCCAAAGACCTGTTAATTTTCGTTAGAAGGTTATTGGCAAAAACTTGGAGCAGCTTAGTAGCATGTTTCATAAAGGAACTGCTAGCGTGACATCACAGGAACAGGATCTAGTAAGGCGTATTTTTCCTGGAATCAGTGTCACTTTATGTTGATTTTGATTGTTCTGAGCCTGTCAGTTATTATTAAGAATGAACAGTGGTATTTTAAATAAGCTATTAAGAGGGGAAAAAAAGTATGCCTTTGTGTAGAGATCAAATAATCTACTCTGTATTACTAAGCACAGATCAAATCCTATATGTGCTAAACAAAGTTTTGTAATTCACATATATTTTCAAAAATACTTCTGCTCCCAAACTGTTAATTGCTGTTTTAATTTGGTTTATCTGTATTTTTTGTGCTTCTTTGACTATATTGCCATAGCTCTAAGAAAAGTTGAATGAAAGAAAATGAGAGGCTAAAGTTATCAAAAAGTTGAAGATTTGAGTCGTAATCATATCTGAAGTCCTAAAGAGAAGGAAACATTTCTAAGCTGTGGAGCAATGTTTATAGTGTGTGAGATTTGGTTTGAGAATTGTATATCTTTAATTATTAATCTTAACATATATATGACTTAACTAATATGCTTCATTTCTTCAATGCATGTGGAACTACAGTGCTGAAGAGACCACTACAAGAGTATTACTAAAAAAAAAGGCCTTTTTTATATTTATTTACCCGTATCATCAATATCTATACAGAAACTTGACTCTTCTTACCTGAAACACTCGCTTCACCTGTTAGGGTGCTAGCTAGAGCATTTCCAGAGGAACAAACCAGAAGGGGCTGGAGCTTCAGAGTATGTGAGTGGAGAATTTAGATGTCATTCAAAAAAATGTAAACTGGGTGTTGGACTGGAAACACTTTGTGTGGAAAAACGTTAGGAACTGTGGTGCTAAAACTCCTCTAGAGCAAGGATGGTCTGTTGTGGGGAACATTCCATACTCTTGGACACGAGGAAGGCTGTTTAATTCAGAGCATTAGTGATTAGCAAATTGCCCTGGAATCAAAAGATTTGGTACTTGAGTTTGATAAGCATTCCATTATTTGTTCTAAATGCTCAGTTTGCTGAAATTTGGGTGAAAATACCTTTTGAAGACATAGTCTCAGAGCCTTAATGATGGCCGCTATTGACAGTACTGTAAGATGCACTGCCAGCAGATCTGACATTTTCCGTGTAGTCGGTCGTGTTTTCTAAGAAAGATTTTAGAAATCAGCTGATTAAATGTAACCATTGTTTCATTTATGGGATGAAGGACTAAAGCATTTCTCCTTGAGAACAAACTCCGTTTGGAAAGGCTGTCTTGGCGGTTGGGGTGTCTCTGGAAGCACCCCTGGGAGACGCTGCCTGAAGAACTGCTTTTCCAGCTTGTACCAAGGTTTTTTCTCCCCTGAAATATACTGTACATATTTTCCTGATAACATCTTCATTGGTCGGATTGGTAATAACTGTAGTAATATTTTAGGTCCTGTTGGATTTTCAAAGGCAGATTATTTATTTTCTAATTTGCTGCTAAAACTGAAAAGCTGATAACTGGTCCCGTTGACTGTGCCTTCATCACTGTTTCTCTGTGCCACAACCGTTCATGTGTATTTGAAATAAAGAAGTTTAAAAAGCCATGTTGAATTCAAGACTCCTTCTAATAAAAAACAGGTAAAACTTCATGAGTACCAAGCTTTTTTATTATTATAGTTTTAACACTGATCTATAATAATAGCTTACCGGGACTATTTTCAGTTAGAAAACAATAGTAGATTTGTATGTTTTGGGAAGTCTTGAAAGAAAGAAAGAAAGAAAGAAAAAGCCTCAGTTGTTAAGCCCATGGTTATCAGTGTTACAACAGAGGCCCACTCGTACCTCATGTGGCTACACAGTTCCCGGAACCAAGAATGGCTTCTGGGGGCCTCTGCAATCTACTACATTTTGTTGGTTGGTTTTGTTTTTTTTTTGCATAAATAATGGCTATTAGTGACATTTACTGCCTGTAGTTCACTGATTCCTAAGGAGACTTTTAAAGCTTAAACTAGGACCCTGTGGCTTATATAAAAGTTTAAAATGCGGCCTGTTAGAAATGGGGGTGGCTCTGTACCTTGTCAGTAACAGTTGGGGAGGGGATGGGACACATATGACTATTATCATGTGGATAGGCATTCAAAAATAATTTATGTTAAAAAGTTTTACCTTTTTATTTTCCTCATAGCCTTAGTACTTTGTGTATCATTCTGTGTGCAAATATTTATGAATAAAAGGTAACACTTTAGTTTAAAAAATATTTATTGTAGAAATGTACATTTAATTAGTTTTAAGGAATGTACTAAGTATTAACATTTACACTTCTTCAAATCTGCAAACTTCATACCTTTAAGATATCTACAGTGATAGTGTATTTACAGGTTTCATGAGACATCACCACCTCACCAACACTTTGCTGCTGCTCAGACGTCGGGCCCCCGGCTCACTTCACTCTGTACTTGTAGAAGGAGCACAGCGCGTGGGTGAAGTTCCAGCCCAGCGCTAGAGACAGTCCGTACAGCAGGATGAGCGGTGCGAACGGGTAGAGGAGAGTCACTGTGTTTTTCAAAAACGGCAGTGCTGGAGAAGGACCAGGGTTCAGGTTAAGGGTGAGAGTCAACATCGCCAGTTAGTAATGGATGAAGTGCTGAATTTAAACCTGTGATGCTTCAGAAGCTTCCCACCTTAATGTACCAGCAGAGATGGATGACGTTATAGGAAAAAACCAACTTTCAGCTGTTTGAGATTTCCCAACTAAGGGAGTGTCACACCTCCACTTTGAGAAGGTGAGATCTCAACTAGTATCCCAGACTTTAGGAAAGAAATGAAGCTCTCAAATATAAAACCCACCCTCAGGTATCTGTGTTTCTTTCTCTCTCACTTGTGGTTTCCTATTAGTGGGTTCATAGCCCATGCATTCAAACCTAAGTATTTCTCAAACAAGTACTCCCCAAACCGAAACTGAGCGTGCCCAAACAATCTTCTAAATTGTAGGGAGTTACCAGGACAGTGATCCAAAATCCACTTCCATCTCCCCAGAACTAGAGACAGAACCTCCCCAATGCCCAAAACAAGGTGTTACAGTTTGGGGGTGGGGGGTTCCTGACAAAGTCAAGGGGACTCTCTGACCAGTGGAATCAGTCACATGTGCGTCCAAGTGACTTAGGTTTACAGTAAGATCCTAATCATCTAGAGGGACAATAAAGGAAAGGGCTAAAATACATGACACTGACAAGTCATAAGATCTCTAAATTTAACTCTTAAGAGCAGTCATTTCTTAACATACATGAAGAAAAATAAATATGGTTCTCATTCATACTATGAAAGATGAACCAGTAGCAGGATTGAATAATGAATTTATAAACATATCCTGAGCTCAGCAGAAGCTAGCCTTAATCTTCTGTGATTATCCACAGTACCTCTCACCCCTAGGCTGGAGTCTCCAGTCCAGCAGGTGGCCTGGGACCAACACAGATGTTTACAAAATGAAGAATATTTCAGAATCATCCCCCAATCATAAAACAGAAAATATGGCAAAGGTTTTAAACATGCCCATACACTGGAGCCAACCCTTTCCTCATCTGATTGACTGCTGGTAACCCAGAACCCAAAAGCCTGGGAGAAAAGAAACTCGTCATAGGTTCCTGTAAGAAACCTGGAGAGCATCAGTATGGTTTAACATGGTTCCTTGAAATTATAAAGTTTGTTATATACCAGCAATGCCACTTTGGAGAGACGGGACCATGGATAAATTAATTAATCTCTCTGGGCTTGTCTCCTCATTTGAAAAATGGGGAATAGTAAACCTGTATCATATAACTAAAGATTAACAGGGAGAATTTACGTAAAACACCAGGGACAGTGCCAGCTCCATAAAAGCTCATTGTATTACTGTTACAACTTCTCCCCTCCCTGTAGTGTTGTCAACCAAAAAAAATCAATTACTTACCACTGTATCCTAAGAAAGTTACATAGATATAGTAGCCAACAGCAACCAACCATAAGGTATTTCCAACTAAATATCCAATAAATGTGTCTGTTAGGATGACATCTGCCGAAGAGACACGGACAATGAATCTTTTTTCAGTGGGTACAATGAAGACTTTCTGATAACAAGTTCAGAAGTAACTGCTACTTACGGTTGATGAAAAAAAGCTGTATAAAATGCAAAATGACCAGGAGAGGATAAAAAGCATTCAGATGCACATCGAAGGCATAGCCCCACTCCACATCATAGTCTCTGCTCTGCCGTTTCACTAAATACTTATTGGAGATAAACCTGAAGAAAAAGATAACATTTCTTTCATAATACAATAAAATTAACCCCATGCGTATTTACTGACTATCTTCTATAGCTCAAGCATCATTCCAGACACTGGAGACATGGTGGTAAACAAATTTCTGCCTTCAATCTAGTGGGAGTGGATTGACAACAATACAGTCAGATGGCCCTATGGAGAAAAACTGAACAGGTGAAACATTAACTATGACAAGAGTCATGAGAAAGTGACATCTGGGCAAAGAACCAGGGGTAGTGATGGGAACCCCTGGGGCAGAGCCTTCCAAGCAGAGAGGAGTCTTGAGCACAGAGGTGGGGGAGGGCTTGGCCTGCTTGAGGAATGGGGTAGGGGCTCAGAGCGCCTGCAACTGGTGAGAAGACAGCAGGGAATGAAATGGGAAAAGAAAAAGGAGCATCTTATAGACCCTGTGGTCGCTGTCAGACGTTTGGCTTTTACTCTTGGTGGAATAAGTCACTGTGGAGTTCCCAAAAGGACGTTTGACTTACTGTTTTGACGGGGTTCCTCTGGCTGCAATCTGAGAACAGACCCTGGGGACAAGAATGGAAGCAAAAAGGCAAGAGGGAGGTTACTGTGAGGAGGAGATGAAGAGGGTTGCAGCAGCGGAGGTGCTGGCCTGGGGACGATTAGAGCTGGAGGCGGGAACGAGTTGAGTACTAGACAGCGGGAACCAGAGAAAAAGATTAGTCGAGGACAACTGAGACTTCTGCCCTAAAACAAGTGAAAGACGGAGATGCCACTGAGGTAGGAGTGGCTGCACCAAGAGTGATCTGGGTGCAGGAAGGGGAGAGTACAGGAGTTTGGACCTGGCCCTGTTATGGTGAAGAAGTAGGAAATATAGAAAGAAGGTCTAGAAGCTTAGAGGAGCAGTGCACACAGGGGATATACAGATTCATGTCTGCAGATGGTATTAAAAGCCATGAACTTGAATAAGATCACCTAGAGAGTGAACACAAATAGAGAACAGGTCTGCGGCCTAAGACTGGGGTCACATACACCCTGCCAACCCCCGCCCCACTGTGGAAAGTTCAGTACTGGAGGAACCAGTAAGGAAAGAGTGGCTAGTGACATCTCCAGCCACAGGAACAATCACTCAGGCTCATGCCTCTGTTCCACAGCATGGTCTCATGGTTCCTTTAAATGATGAATAAATGAAAAGACAGACATCCAGGTAACAGAAAGACAGGTCTTCAAAGGAAAAGAACAAAAAGGATTGTAAAACAGTTACGGAAATTCGATGGTTGCTTCTACATGTGATTTCAAAGATACTGTTAAGAAAAATGCTATGCCTACAGTGGAAATAGAAAAAGAAACGAGACGTGTTATAGTACTAATAAAACAGTCCTATACTCAAATTGTCTGAAAATGTCAAGATCCGAGTGCTCTGCTAGAACTGGAACTTACCAAAACACCTTCCACTTGAGCCAAGACTGTGCTATAGAATGAATGGAGTAAGAAGCATTTAGCTCACCATCCAAGGGCTCCCATTCAGTAGTCCTGCTGCCGCCCCCACCCCTCTGCTTAGCCCTTAAACAGGTACTTCCCAGGCTTCTGGCCTTCATCCAGGTCTCATCTCTAAAACACTGACATTCCTCCCGGGAGAGCTCAAAGACGCTGAGTCCTCCCCTCCAACCTTCAGATTAAGAATGCCAGTCACATCCTCATGTTGGCCAGACTGCTGCAGCTTCCAAGTTCCCTCCCCCAGTGTCTAATGAACCTTTATTTCATTATCAACAAGTCTCCTGAACTCAGCACGAACCACATGGAATGCACCTGAACCCGAAGCCCACATGGGCACTCCTAAGCCTACAGCCTGCAGGCCACCCTAGAGGCCCTGGGCTCCCCCTCTTCCCCACCATCCTCTACTTCTGGAATTACCACACTAGTCTAGGCTTCCTCTGCTCAAACGCAAACCACACAATTGCACCCAGCCTCACCACTCTTTCCAGCTTCTCCTCCTCCACAGTCAGAAGATTTTTCATTAGTTCAGTTGCTCAGTTGTGTCCAACTCTTCGTGACCCCATGAACTGCAGCACACCAGGCCTCCCTGTCCATCACCAACTCCAGGAGTCCACCCAAACTCATGTCCATTGAGTCAGTGATGCCATCCAACCATCTCATCCTCTGTCGTCCCCTCCTCCTCCTGCCCTCAATCTTTCCCAGCATCAGGGTCTTTTCCAATGAGTCAGCTCTTCACATAAAGTGGCCAAAGAATTGGAGTTTCAGCTTCAACATCAGTCCTTCCAATGAACACCCAGGTCTGATCTCCTTTAGGATGGACTGGTTGGATCTCCTTGCAGTCTAAGGGACTCTCAAGAGCCTTCTCCAACACCCACAGTTCAAAAGCATCAATTCTTCAGCACTCAGCTTTCTTTATAGTCCAACTCTCACATCCATATATGACCACTGGAAAAACCATAGCCTTGACTAGATGGACCTTTGTTGGCAAAATAATGTCTCTGCTTTTTAGTATGCTGTCTAGGTTGGTCATAACTTTCAAGGAGTAAGTGTCTTTTAATTTCATGGCTATAATTACCATCTGCAGTGATTTTGGAACCCCAAAAATAAAGTCAGCCACTGTTTCCACTGTTTCCCCATCTATCTGCCATCTTAGTTAGCAGTATCCTTTTAAGGCCAGATTTTAGAATTTTAGGGGCTTCCCTTGTGGCTCAGCTGGTAAAGAATCCGCCTGCAATGCAGGAGACCTGGGTTCAATCCCTGGGTTGGAAAGATCCCCTGGAGAAGGAAAAGGCTACCCACTCCCGTATTCTGGCCTGGAGAATTCCACAGACTATGAGGTCGCAAAGAGTCAGACATGACTGAGTGACTTTCACTTAGAATTTTACACTACGGGTGCACTGCATTTTCTGACCACCCAGCACATACAAAACCTATTGGACTGGTCAGAAGTTACAAAGCAAAATAACAGGTTGGTATCATCAGAGGTTAGCATCTCACAATCTTGCTCAAAATGTTAACAGCTATCATTTACTGAGCACAGACTGTATGCCAGGTGCTTTTCACAGCACAAGCTTTTCAAATACCTCACAAATAGATAATTAACTTCCATCTCCCAAGAAGGACAGGGTAAATGGCTGAGCTGGCATTTGAACCCAGGTCTCTCTGCAACTCAGGTTCCAGTGTTTTCTCTGATACACAACAGCAACCACCAGCCCCCTGCTGAGCTCACCCGCATGTCCACCTCTTCCGCTAACCACACAAGAGCACCCATGAAAAAAATCAAATGCCAAATTGATACTCAGCACACTATTGCTGGTACAGGAAACCCAGAGAGAGTCAGATTGAGAACTCAGTCAAATAAAACCCGCTCGTGTGTCTCAGCAGGAAGTAAGCTTAACCAAAACTATCCTTTTTCATGTGCTTCATCTCATGTCAAAGATTCAAAGATTTCATGACATAACCCTCCACATTTTAGCCATCGAGAAATGACCTGCTGACCAAGGCAGCAGAATACTGTGCCATGATCTGGACAACTTCAGCAGAATTGGCTGTGAAACATTTTTGCAAAATCAGGGATTTTGTTAATTCAACATAATCATGACGTCAATTCACTTATTTGGTGCAGTTTGACAAAGCGGACCATCCCCTGAAGAGTATTTTCTGCTCTAGGTGCCAACACAGGAGAATGAGTTATGGTAATCCTGGCGGACACAATCAGTGCTTTCAATTCATATAGTTTCCCTTTCCATCAGCTACTCTCTGAAGGAAACAGAGGGAGGCTCTACAGTAGCATCTGAAAAACCAAAGTTTCCGTACTTACCACATTAAGGTTGATATGAGAAGACCGACGCCTACACAGTCTATGAATACCACCCAAAGGAGCAGCTTTATCGTCTCAAAAAACCCCATGTCCAGTACAAAGCCAAATCCTATCGTGGACACTGCAAGAAAGATTTACAAGATGCATTCAGACACTTTGCTAGATTCTAAGCATATAGGTCAGTTTCTGCCTTTCAGATGCCCACTCCAGAATGGGATGCAGGTATGCAAACAAAACCCCTAAGCTATCTTATCAATGGATGTAACTGATTAAGAAATGCAGATTGCCCTGGAACACACAACTACCCTGAGATACCTGATGTTTACTGAAGAGGCCCCTGTGTATCTGTGATTCACCTGGGTAGCGAGCCCCAGCATTCAGAATACGACCACTACTCAGAAGGCACTCAGATGTTTAAACCCAGTTAAAGGTGGGCGTCCCTGGTGGCTTAGATTGTAAAGAATCTGCCTGCAATGCAGGAGACCCAGGTTCGACTCCTGGCTCAGGAAGATCCTCTGGAGAAGGAAATGGCTACCCACTCCCATATTCTTGCCTGGTGAATTTCACGGACAGAGGAGACTGGAAGGCTACAGTCCAAGGGGTCACAAAAAGTCAGACACGACTGAGACACTAAAAGTGTTTCAGACCCTTTCAGTGCACTATTGGCGAACTTAAAGCAGTTTCTCAAGATCACATTAGTACTTTCAGAACCCTCACTCTGGATCAGTCTGATGAAAGTGAGAAGTGAAAGTGTTAGTCCCTCAGTCATGTCTGACTCTTTGCGATTCCATGGACTGTAGCCCACCAGGCTCCTCTGTCCATGGGATTCTCCAGGCAAGAATACTGGAGTGGGTAGCCATTTCCTTCTCCAGGGGATCTTCCTGACCCAGGGATCGAACTCGGGTCTTCAGCACTGCAGGCAGATTCTTTACTGTCTGAACCACCAGGGAAGCCCCATGTATTTATCATGGCTGTTGAAAGACATGGAGTGACTCTGTCCTGTGCTTTTCAAAGTTCCGAGGAACCAGTTTACTCTGGCATCTGCTTGGGACCTTTAAAGTCAGGAAGAATACCACTCTCTTTCCTGTGAGATTTTGGAGACTTCAGAAAGGAAGACAACGGCTTCAGAGAACCCCAAATTATGACCCATAGCATGCTGACAACAGGATTCTCCAAATGACAAGTCCAACCTGAAACACTCAACTGATTTCTCAACTCTCCTGCAGATAAACACTTACCACAGAGCCAGATACTTAACAGGACCAAGAAAGCCGGGTCATCCCTGGCCCACTGATCTTTCGTCTGCTTCCTATAGTGAAAGTTTCTATAAACTCTCTGTGGGGAAGTGAATAGGTAGAGCATCTGCCAGGCAGCAAACTCAAAGTCCATCTGCCGGAAACGGAAAAGCCTCCTCAGGTATTTGTAGCGTTTTGCTCCGGCTGTGTGTCTGGCTGCATCCCTGGAACTCAACACTCCGTTCCCCTGCACTGGGGAGTTCACCGAAGTACTTGGTAACATCTTCCTAGATAGAAGGGGCGGGGGAAATTATATTATTAATACAAATCACCAGAAGTAACTGTCAGCCTCTACCACCGCTCTTGTGAATTATATAGGAGAGAAGTCACCTTACATTTTGGCCCCAATCCCTGAGAAGAGGCAGGACTCTAAAGAGAGTAAAGTTGGTTTTGAGGCTGATTTGGGAGCTGGAGAACTGCCCACTGCACTTCAGGAGAGGGCTGCCCCGGGGCATCCATGGACTGTAGCCCACCAGGCTCCTCTGTCCATGGGATTCTCCAGGCAAGAATACTGGAGTGGGTAGCCATTTCCTTCTCCAGGGGATCTTCCTGACCCAGGGATCGAACTCGGGTCTTCAGCACTGCAGGCAGATTCTTTACTGTCTGAACCACCAGGGAAGCCCCATGTATTTATCATGGCTGTTGAAAGACATGGAGTGACTCTGTCCTGTGCTTTTCAAAGTTCCGAGGAACCAGTTTACTCTGGCATCTGCTTGGGACCTTTAAAGTCAGGAAGAATACCACTCTCTTTCCTGTGAGATTTTGGAGACTTCAGAAAGGAAGACAACGGCTTCAGAGAACCCCAAATTATGACCCATAGCATGCTGACAACAGGATTCTCCAAATGACAAGTCCAACCTGAAACACTCAACTGATTTCTCAACTCTCCTGCAGATAAACACTTACCACAGAGCCAGATACTTAACAGGACCAAGAAAGCCGGGTCATCCCTGGCCCACTGATCTTTCGTCTGCTTCCTATAGTGAAAGTTTCTATAAACTCTCTGTGGGGAAGTGAATAGGTAGAGCATCTGCCAGGCAGCAAACTCAAAGTCCATCTGCCGGAAACGGAAAAGCCTCCTCAGGTATTTGTAGCGTTTTGCTCCGGCTGTGTGTCTGGCTGCATCCCTGGAACTCAACACTCCGTTCCCCTGCACTGGGGAGTTCACCGAAGTACTTGGTAACATCTTCCTAGATAGAAGGGGCGGGGGAAATTATATTATTAATACAAATCACCAGAAGTAACTGTCAGCCTCTACCACCGCTCTTGTGAATTATATAGGAGAGAAGTCACCTTACATTTTGGCCCCAATCCCTGAGAAGAGGCAGGACTCTAAAGAGAGTAAAGTTGGTTTTGAGGCTGATTTGGGAGCTGGAGAACTGCCCACTGCACTTCAGGAGAGGGCTGCCCCGGGGCATTCTGAACCTTCATAATAACGCTTTTACAAGGTCCACCCAGTCTCTGCACTTCACATCTGTCAATCCTCAGACCTGCTCCACCTCTCCCCACCCCCTCCCACCCCTTCTCCAGAAGCAGAGATAGTGATGGAACCAAAATTTGAACTCAGGCAGTCTGAATCAAAAGTCCACCTGTCATCTGTGCTAACAATCAAGACTTTAAGGAAAAGCCTTTGCTGAAGCCAAACAAACGATGTTCCCGACGAGGTAAAGTAAATGGCTTATCATACAAGTCCATCAGCGCCTCACCAACAAGCAACTCGTTCATTAGCATGGAATGTAAAAACAAGGCAAAACTCAAACGCAGAGTGTTTTACTTCCTGAATAGTTCATCAGGGCAACGACAGCGTGGGAGTCCAGTCCAACCAGTCTGAAGCCAGGGAGGCGCTGGTCATCGTCCAGCCTCCATGTCCCGCCCCGGCAGCCCAGTGTCGGGCTCCACTCCCTAGGCCTCCAGGACGCCAACTGCTCCCCGCCGGCTCGGGGCCTCCGGTAAGGCGGCCAGATTGAGCATAAAAACACAGGACGTCCAGTTACAACTGCATCGCAGATACAAAAGTAATTTGTAATACAACCAGGTCCGAAACACTGCGTGAGACCCACACCTATGCAGACATCATTCGCTGTTATCTGAAATTCGGCTGTAACCAGCCTCCGCAATGGTGTCTGGCAGCCCCACCGCAGACCGAGCAGCCGGACCCGGGCGCGGTCACTCCAGGGCCGGGTGATGTGGGGCCGCAAGTCGCCGGAGGAAACTTGCCGGCGAGCCCGAGTAGCGCGCAGACGGGACCGTCGGCAGGCCTCACCTGGAGACCCGCGGCGGCGTCCACTGGCTTCACACACGCCCGCCACCACCGCCAGCAGCCGACCCAGCAGCCGCTGGGCCAACTTCCCTACCCGCTACGTTAACCGCGTGGGGGGGGCGGGGGGGGGGGNGGGGGGTGCGTCGCGTCACGTGACCCACAAACGCCGCGCGCGATACCTCTCGCGTTACGTATCTCGCAGCGCGCCCACCGGAAGTGGTTGCTACCCGACCTTTTTCCGGTTCCGCCCGCCGCGGCGTCACTGGCGTCCTGAGTCTGGCCGTCTCGGAAGGAGAGGGTGGAGGCCGCGGCCAGCTGGAGGCGCAGTCATGCCCCGGTATTACGAGGACAAGCCGGAGGGCGGCGCGTGCGCGGGCGTGAAGGAGGATTTGGGCTTGTGTCTGCTGCAGTCTGATTGCGTGCTCAAGGTAGCGCGGCCGGGCGCTCGGAAGACCGAGGCCCGAAGCGGGGAGGCGAGGCTGGCAGAGAGTCCCTGGCGGGCCCCAGTGGTGGCTAAGTCGTGCCTCCGAGTTCGCGGTCCTAGGTGTCCACCAACTTAATGAACTGGGCGAGTCAGCTGTCGGAACCTGACTTCCCAATGGTGAAATTGGAGAAAACGGTGCTGCCCCGTTGGGTTTTTGTAAAGTTTAAACCATCTGGGGTCCTGAAACACGGCATGCTGCTGCCCTGCTGGGTTCTGGAGGCATATAGGAGAGTATCACAGGTTTCTGGAGCCCTGGAAAATGAGAACCAGTAAATTAGCAGATAATTACATGAACCTGGCATGCTGTGTTGGCTCGTGAAACCTCCTTATTCAGTTCAGTTGTGGCTGAATAGATGCTGTATTTACTTTCTGCTGGTCTGAACTTGTTGGCTGAGTTCAGGATATGCTGTAGAAGAGACAGCATTTTTATTTTCGCCACTTTGTATCTTGCGCCCCCTACCGTTGAACTTGTGGTTTTAGGAGCTGTGATGGGAGACAAGAATTTGCTGTCTTTCCCTCAATACAGCCACAGGTCTCTGGAGCCAATCTGATAGCATGCACATCGTAAGTCGTTTCCTACTTTTTGCGACCCCCGTAGACCCTAGCCCTCTAGGCTTCTCTGTCCGTGGGGTGGTCCAGACAAGAATACTGAAGTGGCTTGTCGTGCCCGCCTCCAGGGGATCTTCCCGACGTGGGATCGAACCCATGTCTTTTGTGTCTCCTGCGTTGGCAAGTGGATTCTTTACCACTAGCGCCACCTGGGAAGCATAGTGAGGTTCAAAGTCTACTGGCAAACCTGGATTATGCCGTTCAGTTCAGTTCAGTCGCGTCCAACTCTTTGCGACCCCATGGACTGAAGCCCTTCAGGCCTCCCTGTCCATCACCAGCTGCTGGAGTTTACTCAAACCCATGTCCATTGAGTCGGTGATGCCATCCAACCATCTCAACCACTGTCGTCCCCTTCTCCTCCTGCCTTCAATCATTCCCAGCATCAGGGTCTTTTCCAGTGAGCCAGTTCTTCGCACCAGGTGGCCAAAGTATTGGATTATAAGCTTCAGCATCAGTTCTTCCAATGAATATTCAGAACTGATATCCTTCAGGATGGACTGGTTGGATCTCCTTGCAGTCCAAAGGACTCTCAAGGGTCTTCTCTAACACCATGGTTTAAAAGCATCAATTCTTCGGTGCTCAGCTTTCTTTATAGTCCAACTCTCACATCCATACATGACTACTGGAAAAACCAAAGCTATTGACTAGACGGACCTTTGTTGGCAAAGTAATGTTTCTGCTTTTTAATATGCTGCCTAATTTGATAATAACTTTACTTCCAAGGAGCAAGTGTCTTTTAATTTCATGGCTGCAGTCACCATCTGCAGTGATTTTGGAGCCCCTCCAAAATAAAGTCTGTCACTGTTTCCATTGTTTGCCCATCTATTTGCCATGAAGTGATGGAAGCAGATGCCATGATCTTAGTTTTCTGAATGTTG